CGAGATTGAATAATATTTAATAATGGCTTATTTAAAAATCAAAAATTTTAATTTCAATACCGAAAACCGCCAAAACTTTACAAAAATCCAAAAAAATTCGAAAACGAAAAATTCAAGACAAAAAACCTAGAGTATGAGACAGTATCGTTGTACAATGGCCGAAGTATATTTTAGCAAAATAATTCAAAAAGGCAAAAGAAAATAGGAATTATTAAAAATTTAGAACATATTTTTTGATATAAGGTCGCCAAAAAAAAGTGCGGAAATTAAAAATCGCAGTTTGAGTACTTTCTGAGAGTCTGTTCGTCAGAAAGTATACATTTGTAAACTTTCTGACACTAAAATTTTTTTGTCCTTTCAAAGTTTTTGACAATGTCAAAAAGTATACATTGGGGCTCTCAATTTTCCTCTCAAACGGCGGTTTTTTAAAAACGCTCAATTTTTCATCGACCTTAGTTTAAATATAGTCCCCCCAAAAAAAGTGGTTGAATATTGGAAATAACTTCTGGGAGAAACGATAGAAACGCAGTGTATATCTTCCTTTTTGGAATTAAATCAGTTGACTAATTAATGACTTTCTATCAAAACAAATGTTTATTCGTAGCAGCATTTGACTTAAATAACAATACATATGCTTTTTAAGCTGAAAAAGCGAGTGTTTTTAAAAACAAGTTGATATGTGAAAATTCATCAAAACAGGGTATGATTAATAATTATCCATTCACTCAAATACTCATTTTAATGGTACGATTTTGGATTTATATTCTCTAAAGAATATCTGGAAATTCTTGAAAATTGGAATAATTCTCAAAGAATACGTATGAAAAGACACATCGATTAGATAAAAAAATTATTGTTGTTGCAGAGAAAGATCTAATCCATACTAATTAAATGTTATATTTATTATAATAAACTTGATGATAATTTGCAAAATACTATTAAAATATATGAAATTTAAAATTTGTTTGCTCATCTTTGTTGATTGATTAATACACAATCTGATTTAGAATTTTGTAGATATTTAAACTGAAGGTACATCTAAAAAAAGAAGAAATAGGTATGAAAATACGTAAATTTTGCAAAAAAAGCCCAAAGCAGAATGAAGAAATTGGATGTTTTATTAGAATTTAATTTACTATACATTACTCAGTCAATTATATCAATAAATTATAGATGTTACTGATTCCAAGAATCGATTTAAATTCAAGTTTCAATTTGTCACTTTTTTGAGATTTTGGACATTTTTGCAAAAAAAGGTTAGAATTCTTTATGCACTTTTTCATTGAATATTTGACTATAATAACATCTTTAAAATTCAAATTACAAACTAGATTAAAAAAAGTCACAAAAATGAGCAGTGAAGTTACCAATTTCCAATTGAATGCACAAATGTTTACATCTTATTTTTTGGAATCTTCGCTTCCGATGTTTTTTCACAACAACTTTAAATAAATTTCAAAAATTAGTAAAAGTGTCATATAAAAATTGACAATCTGAATCATATTTATACCTTATTTTTCAAACAATTGAAAAAGTGCTATACTAAATAGAATTTATATTATAGGTCAATTATTATTTGACCTATGAATGGAAATTCTTAAAATATGAATGGAGCGACTCATATGAAGGAAATGTTTCACCTAGTAATAAAACAGGTTCATTTTCAGGAGGCAATAGTTACTATTTCAAAGATTGTCAAGTATTCAACTCACAATCTGGTGCAATCCATATATCATCGAGCTCAAATGCGACTAAAGTTCTTACAGAAGATTCTGTCTTTGTTAATTGTTTCAAATCAGATTCATCAATTATTTATCAACAAGAAGGACAATGTGTTCAATCACGAGTGTGTTCCAAAAATTCATTATATAATGGAATTGGATGTCATTCAAAAATTCAGTGCACAAATACTGAAGGATTTAAAAATTTCATGAATGAAACAACAATTTCTGAAATAAAAATCGATCAATCTGGTACAAGTTCTATTTATAATATAAGAGGAGATGTAATAATAAAAAAGTCAAATTTTTCATATTGTGATTCAACAATTCCTTCATATTATATTGGATATGGAGTAAAAATAAATAAAGCATCGTATAATTCTATTATAAATAATACAAGTCATAATTTATGTATTGCATTGCATCAAGTTAAAGATAATTCAGCATTTCGATGTAATTATATTAAAAATAATTGTAAATATGTAATTAAATCAGAAGTTTCAAGAGAAATTAAAATTGAAGAATGCTTGATTGTTGATAATATGATTTCTGACAAAATATTCTATAGAAATTTAGGTGGTCAAATTGTTGTGATTCGTTGTTATTGCGAAAATTCTAATAATGAATATGGAGATGCTTTAACTGATGAAATTTCAACAAATAAATTTGATAACAGTCTAAAAATTTTTAACACAGATAATTGTTTCGCAGATTTTCCTCTGGAAAATAAAGAAGTATGCTACCCAACATGTGAAGATGAAGATAATCAAGATTTGAATTTAATTTGGAATTTTAAAGTATTTCAACCGCCACTTATAAATTAATCACTTTAAAAGTATTTCAACTGCAACTTATAAATCGATTTGACCCCGAACATATCCACCTTTAGTATTACCATATTCGGAGCCTCCTCATAATTCAAAGATATATTGACCTGGTGATAATTTTACTTCATAAGGTGTAGAATGTGATTCATTAACACCTCGATAAACATAGATTACTGAAGAATTTATTGGCAAGTGTTTTTATTTGGAACTCCCAAATATACAACATATAATCATTGTATAAATTTAAGGATATTGTCTGCTGAATTAAGTTTTCTTTGATATAATTAATTTAAAACGTTTTATCTATTTTCAACTCTGACAAGATGTGGGACATGTTCATTTAGCGATCATTTATATATTGCTTGTTATTCAATATCTGCAGGCATTACTTTAAAAATTGTAAAAAATCTCACTAAAATAAACTGCTGAACAAAAGGCGTAAGTTTTCAATTTTTGACATCTGGCGTGAAGTAAACTGCGTGATAAAATCTAGGTTTTGTCCCAGACGAATATTTAACAAGCATTTAATGTAACAACCTATTTTCATAGGAGTTCATATTGCTTAATAAGTGAGTTTCTTGCTGGAATCCATAATTAACTTTTGCTATCGGAAAAATTGAGAGTTACCCAGGTTTTCTCTCGCAGTTTATCATTGAAAATTAACTGAAACATCTGATTTGAAAGCCGCTTCATAGGCATAAGCTCCCTTAAAATACTGTTTAGCATTAAAAGCAAAAATAATCGAGACATATACTTTTTTCTTTATAATATCGATAAAACAAAAAGTAGAATTTTTATTCATAAATATTGCATAAAAATAGAAAACAAATATTGAATTGATATGCTTTAAAATATGGATTTATTTCATTTGAGCTAAAATCATAAGGTAACTTGTTAAGGACCCAATAATATAGAAATTGAAGCCAAAGATCAGCAGAATATACACCGATGTCAAATCCACAGAATGGACCTGGAATTTGCTTGCTTTTCCAAAATTTGTTTGCTCCAATTGAAAAATGATAGTTCCCATTAGTATTCCCATCTAGATATGTATCTTCTTGAGTAGAAATTGATAATCCATCAAATGATGTTTCTTGTTTGCATCCTGGATTTATTGGTTTATAACTAACACCTTGAGGGGTTGCCGCATATAGTGGATAATTGCTTTGGTTGAAATAAAAATAATCATTTGGATAATTTGTCTCATATCGAAGCAAAAAGTTATATTTCGAATTGATTTTGAATGTTTCATCAACATATCCCATAACACTGAAAATATGTTCTGATTTCGTAAACTTGAGTTGTTGTAATGCAACTTGTTTGTTTCGATTAAAAAGAGTATCGTTACCAATATCATGATGAAGTATCTTGACCCATAGTTTGTTATCAAATGATGATATTTCATATCCATGATATCTATTTATATTTAATCATATTGATAAGAATCGCTAAAAAATGTGACAAAAAAAATTATAAATTCTTTATTCCGATGGAATAAGGATTTCTGTGAGAAAAAGGAGAGAAAAATAAAGATGATTCATAGGATTAATAATGCATGAGTTATTAAAAATAAAAAGTGTCTTGATGACAATGCACCCATTCCCTGTGTGTCCTGTTTCTGGAATTCCTGTTGGTGACAAAAATGTCTCATTTCCACCACGAACAATAACATTATTGAATTTTAGACCACTATAATGATCTGCTGTTTCTAACATTTTATAGTCATTTTCTGATGAAGAAATTTCACCTATTGCATGGAATCCTTGGTATCCAGACACATATGATGATCCCCCTGCTGTGCTTGCAACAATATTATCACCATCTGTTCCTGCACCTCCTCCGAAGTATCCACATCCTCCTCCATGACCGAAATGAGAGTTTCGAGCACCGTAACCACCTCGTCCAAAAATAATTGATATTTTTCTAGAAAATATGTATCAATTATTTGTTCATATTATATAATTTCCATCTGATCAAGTACTGGTAAAAATTTGGCTAAGAGAAGTTTTACAGTTGGACAACAAAATGAAGAATTTTAACTTTTTCACATTATAAGAGGTGGAACTGGATCTAAACTTTGTCATCTTATAATAAACTGTTTGACTTTTCTCATAGTAATAAAGGTTTTAGGATCATTAATTACCTTTATTTGACGATTTGGAGCAGGTTCATTCCAATATTACAGCTCTCATTATAGAGTATGAAATGCATGAAACATTCAAAAGTAATTAAGAAATTTTTCTACAATTTTTATTATTAATAAGGTTAATTCGGTCAATTTTTTTTGTAAACAGTATAAGGGTGATATTACATATTTATTATTAAACAGTCCTGGTATGAATATTTTTCAACTCAATATAAACCAAAGGTACATGCTCTTACCTATAAATCCAATTTTTCTCATCATTCGAATACAGATTTTTACGTTTCTGTCTTCCAATTTTATTCATGCATGGAGAGGGCAATTACAAATACTCGACAGCTCACAAATACATTAATTGAAGAGTCTATTTTTTCGCATTGTACTAATTCGGATCATGGTGCCGCCATTTTATCGAAATCTCTAAATTCAGTAATATCAAAATGTACAGGAACATTTTGTGAAACAGAAAGCCATCATGGACAGTTTTTTTACCAGACTACAGTTGAAAGAAATGAAGTTTATTATACAGAAATTATTTCATGTGGAAATTCAAACAGTTATTATTCTTCAGTTTTATACGACGGTAGATTAGTAAATAAATACAATAACTTCTCTTACAACAAATGTTTACGACAGTGTGGCCATCACATGCATTTGAACACAGTTAACTCTTCAATATCAATGTATTTAAATATTATAAAAAACGAAGCGGAAGGAATCATAAACAATTTCCAGACTTTGTTTCATTTGATTAAATACACAAATACTGTTCAAAACACAATTACAAAAAGTAACCAATGTTTAGTTTATTTAGATGCTAATTCAACAGCTTTATTGATTTCATGCGTTATGAAAGATAATATTTTGAATTCAGGAGTTTTTGTAGCATGTTCAAATCAATCAAATTCAATAACGTTCGATGGCTGTTACATTGATTCTTACGAAGAAACAGAAAGAGTTACATTTAATAATTTAATCGATAATGTTATAAAATTTAATTTGATCCCAGATTCACTCTCCTACAATAAAAGATTTTTGGATTGTCAAACATATTCTGTCATTTATTTTCAATTTCATTTTTCTCTATTTTTTGTATGCATCGATTTGACATAACTTAATAAATTATTTTCCTTTTTCAGCATGCTCTTGATTTCAAAATGGGCTATCTGTTTGTTGGGTCAATCATTTACAACTTCAATAATCACAATAAAAATGATGGGCCATATGTTACCTATATTTAATTTTTTTCAGTGAAAAATAATTGTTGAGTATAAAAAAAGTTCAAAATGAATACGAACATATATGTATAATAAAAGATAATTTTTATTCAAGAAAAATAAGAAATGATGTAAATATTTGATTTAAAATGAAATATTGGCAAAATAGATTAGTTTGTATTTGACAATTCTTTCTCAAATATTTTTGGTTATTAGTTCTAATCCAAAGATCAACCCATTTGACCCTAACATCAAAAGGACCAGGGATATATTGATATTCAAAAATTTCATACAGACCAATTGAGAACCAACAACTACTGGTGCCTGATCCAATAGTTCCATCAATGTATGCTGCTGTATCTTGGGAAAAGGCAAGTGCATTGAAATAATTAAACTTGGTACCAGAAATATGCTTAAACACAATTCCTCTACCATCACTATTTGGATTAGTAGTTTGATTGAATCTAATAAATGCTGGCATCTGTGGAAATTCAAGAAGGAATTCATAAACGTTATTAATCAAAAAATCTTCATTTATTAAATTTAATAAACTATATTTGTGCCTTGATCTAATATAATGTACATCTCCTTCATTGAAGCAGTCGTCGACTGATCTGAAAACGTCATGATGAAAGATTTGTAGCCAAGAAACGTTTTCAAATTCTTTGATGCGATATCCATCAAGATCATTATATAATTTCTCATCTATTAATGGATAATTTGAGTATGTCGTTCTTCAACAAGAGTTAAAATTCAAAATTTTAACTTTTTAAAATTTTGATAAAAAAAAATTCTCCAGACCATTTAGAAAAATTTTAATCAAATATATAAATAATAACATCAAGAAATTATATGTTGATTAAATATTTGAATAAAACAATGAAACAATTATAGTACTCAAAATTTGAATGAACGATATAGAAGACAAAAATCATAATTTTTAATGGTTCGTGAAATAGTGCACATCCAAGCTGGACAGTGTGGTAACCAAATCGGTACAAAGTTCTGGGAAGTTGTTTCAGATGAACATGGAGTGGACCCAACTGGAAAATACTATGGAGATTCAGATCTTCAACTTGAAAATATCAACGTATATTTCAATGAAGCTATAAACACTAGATATGTTCCTCGTGCCGTTCTTGTAGATATGGAACCAGGAACGATGGATTCAGTCCGAGCAGGTCAATACGGACAGCTATTTCGTCCTGACAACTTCATTTTCGGTCAATCAGGTGCAGGAAACAATTGGGCCAAAGGATATTACACAGAAGGACAGGAACTTTGTGATCAAATCATCGATATCATCAGAAAAGAAGCCGAATCATGCGAATGTTTACAAGGGTTTCAGCTTGTTCATTCTTTAGGAGGTGGAACAGGTTCTGGACTTGGAACACTATTATTAAATAAATTACGAGAAGAATATCCAGATAGAATTTTAAATACATATTCAATTATTCCATCTCCAAAGGTATCCGATACAGTTGTTGAACCATACAACTGTATGCTTTCAGTTGATCAACTTGTTGAAGCTTCCGATGAAGTCTTTTGCATTGATAACGAAACTCTTTATGATATATGCTTCCGTACACTTAAGCTTACAAATCCAACATATGGAGATCTCAACCATTTGGTTTCAATGGTCATGTCTGGAACTACTTGTTCCCTCAGATTCCCAGGTCAGCTCAACTCAGACCTCCGAAAACTTGCTGTAAACCTTGTTCCATTCCCACGTTTACATTTCTTCGTAGTTGGTTTTGCTCCGCGTTATTCACGTGGATCACAACGATACATTTCCAATTCGGTTTGTGAGATTTCATCTCAACTTTTCGATGCAAAGAACCTAATGGCAGCATGTGATCCTCGCAGAGGTGTTTTCTTTACTGCCTCTGCACATTTTCGTGGCCGCATTTCCCCACTGACAGTCGATGAGCAATTAGCATGCATTCAATCACGTAATTCATCATATTTTGTTGATTGGATACCATCAAACTTCAAATCAGCAATTTGTGACATACCACCACCAGGTCTCAAAGTGGCGGCGACATTCATTGGAAACACCACAGCATTTTGTGATCTTTTCAAAAGGGTCGATTCTCAATTCCAAAAGATGTATTCACGTCGAGCTTTTGTTCATTGGTTCGTTAATGAAGGCTTAGATGCTGTGGAATTCGATGAAGCACGTTCTAACATGGCTGATCTAATACAGGAATATGAAATGTACGAAACAGCTGGCATAGAACAGCAAGAAAGCGAAGAAAACGAATAATTAATTAAGCCGAATGCAACAAGTAAAAATATAATTTTAATAACCAAATTCAAAAATATTTTTACATTTTACATTTATTAAGTTGCTTGAAAAATTGAAATAAACAAAAAATGAAAAATTAAATAATAGGAATTACTTAAGGATTGACATTTAACAACACAATTAATACAAAAATTAGAAATTATTTTAATTTCAACATATCCTTCTCCATCATTTCCTCCATCAATAAATTTTGATTTGGTTCCAGATGTAAATGAATAAGCGCCTAGAGATCCACAACCTTCACCTGTAACATTTCCACCTTTCCAACCTCCTGGACCACCTGCACTATTCCAACTTGCACCTCCACCACCAAATCCTCCATATGACCAGTGATCATCACTTGGAGAGTAAGAACCAACTCCACCTGACAAAAAACTTGCACCTCTTCTATCAGACGATAGAGATTTGTAACCAGATCCAGCATATCCATCACCAGAAGTATAGCCTCCTCCTTCATCTGTTATGATACTTGAGATTCCATCAGTTCCATTTTGCCCATTACTTGAACACCTTGATGGGGAGTGTAAATCCCCTGAACTTCCTCCAGCACCCGCAATAATTAGGGGTTTCACGGTTGTTTTTGCCGGTATCAGTGTATCTGAACTAAAAAAATCTTCAATGACAACAAAAGTTCCTCCACTTCCACTTTGTCCCCAACCTGAATCAACTGTTGTTCCAAATTGACCAACTAAAATATAAAAATTAGAATTTTGTTTAATTTCAAATTCAGAAGATAAAATTGCACCTTTTCCATATTTATGCTTGGGAAACGATGTACCTCTTGGTCCCGCTGCTGTTATTAGATATTTCCCTGAGACTGGTGCCTTCTATTTCTGAATTCCAGAAATAATTATTACATTTACTGACGAATTATGATAATAAGAATTTGCTTGTTCTTGTGTTGGACCTTTCCAACCTATTGCTCCACATGATGTGAAGCGATATGTAAAATTATCAGAATTATTTTTTAAGTTAATTTGATGTGAGATTTATAATATGAATATGTGTGTAATGAAAGTTAATAATCGAAAGGGCATTAGTAAAAAGAATTTATAATCAAATCTTTACAATGAAAATCAAAAAATTGTATAATTCTGATTTTGGCAATATTGACACCATAGTTTATGCTATAAATGTAAAGATATCCTATGATATATTATCTCAATCGGATCCATAATCTTATTTTAAAATTAAATGAGATAACCGATTTTCACCTTTCTTTATAAATTTTTTCAAAACTGATTATCGAAACTACATCCATTCAATTTTTCTATATCGGATTAGGAAAAAAAATATGAAAAGGAGTTTAGTTCTTGAATATCTTTACAGAAAAATTAATCCAATATACAAATGAATAAGATAAATTTTTTATTAAATATCTTGCAATAATAGTTGGCAACAAATGAGCATTTCTCATTGAATGGTAATTTATTTAATGTTTTTGTCTCAAGAAATTCAAGCCAAATATCAACAGAAGTGAAACTAATAGATGACTGGGTACAATATGGACCTGGAATTTGATGCTTGTTATAATAAAACCCATTACATCCTATAGAAAAATGGTGTGTTTCATTTATATTTCCATCTAAATATGTTAATGGTTGGCCAGAAATTGATAACCCATCAAAAATTGTGGTGGGATGATTCTCTTGTGTTAAACAGCCAGGATGAATAAAGTTTTTTGATACTCCTTCTGGAATTTTAGCATATAGCGGGAAATTACTTTGATTGTTTACCACTGTGGTATCTTGTAATTTTCACTAATTCAATGCTTTTATTTTAATCAAGCTAACAATTTTTAATGATCTTATCTTATGTCGTAATAGTATTTTATAGTAACTTTAAAACACCATCAATTTTACAATCAAATCAGAATAAATATCAAAGACTGAAAAATTCAAAAATTTAAGTTTAAGAGTATGAATAGTAATCAGTATTTTTAACTTCATCTTTGCACATAATAAGCATAAAAGTTAATATATTTTGGTATTGAATTAAAAGGCCCAATTTACCATATAGCATCAGTAAAAATGACAAGCAGTCCAGCTTTTCGATGTGATTTATGAGATTATTATATATATATATTGCTAATAAGGAATAAAGTTAACTGCTTAAAATCGAATTTTGAGCATGATTTATTTTTGAAATTATTTGATCATTGAATTTTCGGCGATTTAAATGGATCAATCCGCAATATAATATAACTCAAAAAAACAATTAAAAATTGCAACCGAAAATGGTCAAAAGTAAGTCACGAAAATATGAAATTTAGATAGCTAATTTGATTTAATTAAAGACGACGAAAAAATATTTTTAGTCTTATATATATAGCGCATCTATCGGCGCGCGGCGAAGCCGCGCGCCGATATAAGCTGAAAATTGTCAAATGCTTCTCAATTACAGAGGTTAGCCCTTTTTATTGTTAGAGTTGGTGTTGGTAAACATATTTATTGAGTTATTTTGGTCATATCTCAGGTAACCTATAAAGAAAAATGCGGGATTTATAATTATATACATATATTTTTATTTTATCTAAGCAATAGAAATAGTAATGAAAACATATAGAGGAAATCCAAAATAATTTCGCCATTGACATATTGAACAAAGATTTTTACTTGGTAACAATTCTAAAATGTGAAAATCATCAAAACGAATCCAAAGTTGTAATGTATGAGCTGGTACATACATACAATTTTTATCACATGGTACACCAGGATAAGTATTGTCTTTTACCCAATGTTCATTGCTGCCAATTGCATAACTCCAATGACCAATGGAATTGGCAGTCCCATCAATATATGTTAAACTAATTTCAGATAATGTCAAGCCTGTAAAGCTATCATTATAATTTGCGGTCAACATGCATTCATTGAGTCTGAAATCAATTTCTAAGTTTTCTGCTTTATCTGATTTAAAAGGATTATTAGTTTGATTAAATAAGAAATAATCAAAGGGAAGATCATCTGGTTCATATAGTAAGAAATTATAAGTATTATTTACTTTAAAATGATCATCAATAGAACCTAAGACACTGAATCGATCTGTTTCATTGATAAAATTAACCTGTTTGTGTAATAAATTAGAATCTTTGCTGAAAAATACATAATTTGTAGAATTATGATGGAAAACTCTCAAATAATTTTTATTATCATATTCAGCAACTTGATATCCCTTATATTTCCCTCGGTTTTGCATCGTATGAAAATTAAATTTTGTTCAAATATGAATAAAATTTTAATTATATGGTCAATATAGGATTGTGTTAGTTATATCATTGATTTTTAATGGATAAAGTTCAAGGATTAACGTAAACTGAAGAATTATTGGAGCAGGTGACAAAAGTGGTTACTCTTAATTGTAGTCAAAGAAAAGTGAAGGTACTATGGCCGAGTGGTCTAAGGCGATAGATTTAAGCCCCATTACCGTGAGGTGCCTGTGTTCAAACCCCAGTGGTACCATTTTTTTCAAATATTCATTTCCACTGATTAATATCACTATAATCAAGTTTAAGGGTGCACAAAGGTAAATTCACTATTTTTGACAAAATTTTAAATTTTCATGGGGTTGTAAATCTTATAATAACTAGATGAATAAGGAATGAATCCCAGTATAATGTGCATCATTATATTAAACACTATATGTAAGGCTAATGATTCTATTAACACTTATGAAGATCTATAGTATTTGAGCAGATAAATTTGATAATTTCCAAAACTCTTATATTTCAAAATTAAAGTGTGCGAATGCATTTAAATGAGAGCAAAAAGAGATTGATGCTGTTAAAACTAGGTGTTAATTTGCAATTATTTCGCATCACAAGAACTACCCAGTAAATTCGGCTATCTTTCTTTGCAATTATTCTCCATTATACCTATAATATAATGGTTAGGGTTTGAGGAAAAGTTACTAGAGAATTATTGACTTTTGAAATAATGCAGAATTTTACTTGAAGAAATCATTAATTTATGAGTTCCAAATTGCTAAGCATGACGAAGGATCATTAAATTTGCTACAATTAAATACACTTATTGCAGAATTAAGATTTTTGAAATTAAAAGTTTGAAATATTGCCTTTTTGAATAAAAATTTAAATTTTATTATATAATCATGATAATATCTTATAGAAATTAAAAGAAAATATTTTAAACCATTCAAATATTTTGAATGTCTTATCAATTTAAAATATTAAAAGATAGCTTGATTTTATCATCATTAGTTGTTATCAAAGTTTTCTTCTTTTGATGAACAACAGTAAATGATTTGTTAATTACTTGTCTTCCTTTTTCGCAGCAAAATCGAAAGTTATGATGATAATCTTGCTCTCAATTTTGAAACTCTCTGATTTACAAGTAAGCATTCCTTTGGAAAAGCAGTCCTATTCTGTTTTCAAGATATTTTAAAGACTCCATTTCATACAATGCGCAGATCTATTCGAAATTGCAAGAACTCTCAAGAAAAATGCAGCAGCAAAGAAGATTCCATAGTTTCTAGCATCAAAAATTTACAACCTTAATACAACAGTTAAAGAGAAGCTCGAAAAGAAAATATTTAACCATAAAGCTGGAAACCATTCGATATCTACTATTGGATCTAATAAAAAGTTAATTATAACATATTTAACATGCTATTTGTTGACTTTGTTCCATTATATTACCATATATATCTTTTTGAAATCTAAAATATTTTTACGATTTTAACCATGTGTTGTTGAAACCATATATCAATCTTAGCTAAAGTATAGTTTATGAGTCTGTCACCATCTAACGTATGAATTTTCAAAAATGTCAAATATGTTCATTTTTTCTGTAGATTCAGCCATAATTTCACGTTGTTATACTATTCAACTATTATTTAATATTTTTATCGATATAAATATATGATGAGATGCTTAGTTCTCCTGGAAATCAATTTTTAATCGCAATTTTAACTTTCCAAAAAAATTCAAAAATAAAAATCCCTCTCAATTTTCTAAGTTTTATAACTCGCCAAATCTCTAGCCAAATTTTTTTTGGCCCGTATAGATATTGTTAGGCACTATATAGGGATGCTATTTATCCTATTTTCATCCCATTTTACTGTTATCGCCTAGTGAATGTACCTTTGGGTGCACCCGTATGTACGTTTATTTGAGAGGAGGAGGATTACCCTCTCAATTTTGAGGGATTCGTTAGTTTATTTTCTCGATGAATATGCAATAAAATTTGATTTTTACCTTATCAATATACTTCATATAATATACACATGTTCATGTAAAAACTTTTTTCCAAAATCCTCAGGAATTAAGGGATTTTTGAATTTTAAGAATTTTTTTTCGAATTTTTTCGAAAAAAAAATATTTTCAGAACAGCCTTAACGGCTAAGATTTAGGAACAATGTTAAGTATCAAAAAGAAAGGAGGTCTGATATAGACAACATATATCGTTGAAGGTTGAAAAAATCTCTAATATTTGAGCCCAAAATTTCAAATTTTAATTTTTTGAAAAAAGAGGCCACCCGTATGTACGTTTATTTGAGAGGAGGAGGATTATATTTTTGAAAGGGTGAAACATTATGAATATGTTAATTATATAATAATATGTATTATTAAAAAAAAAAAAATAAAGCACGTTAAAATTTTTCTTTCTTGATTTTTTACAAAATCTACTTAGAATTATGCAAAATATGACTAAATAATTATAAATTTC